TGTTATATTGATCAATTAAAGGATTGTTGATCATGATCATTGATCATTTAAAATACTTTTCAGATAGGTAAAATGTTATGCTGATTATCAAAGCCAACAGGATGAAGGTCAGATTGTTAAGTCACTATCAATAAGGGAATATCCATGGAGATTGCTGATAGGTTATCTACTACCCTAGAGAAGCTCACTGCAGCTCCTTGGACTCAGAAAATGCACTTTATGTCAGGACTGTGGAGACCTTGGAATTGTAAACCAATAACTTTGCTCTTGTGAAGAGTTCATACCTGGTTTGCAGCATGAGTGTGGCTCTTCCATTGGAGAAGCCCTGGAGGTGGTCGCTACTAAGGGTCTTTGCCATCAGAGCAAGCCTGTGTCCCCGTGTGCTGCTGTCCTATTAATAACTGTTACAAGTGGTCTGTGAGGAAAGCTTATTGACTGTTATATAGTTCCCAACCCCATTCTGTTTATATGCAAAGAGACTTTGCATCATTGTTTTATATACTGAATTTTCCAGGGATTTAACAGCATAAACCTGACAGAAGCTTAGACTTTGCTTTGGTTAAACTCTAGAAGACATGCTTCCCATTGCAGAAAGTTGTGGCGCCCAAGCCAGCCTTGGTCACACTTTGAAGTCACTAGGATGTCACATGCACCCCCATCTCCAGTCCTCACTGCCCACCTATGGTGACTACTCACTAAAAAATGCCAGCCTCCATGACTTTGTTATGTCTTCTAATGCAGCTCATTTCATTATAAATTATTTTCTTCTTATTATAGCTTTATAGTATAGTTATGCCAGTATATTGATTTTATAAAAATTATGTGCAGGATATATATATATATATATATATATATATATATATATCCATATCCTGAATTTCATTTCAAGAGAAAAGGAGGTTATTACAAAGGATTTATAATAGAAGTGCATGGAAGGAGTCCGACAGAATGGAGAACTACTGCCCTACAGGGTAAGACATACAAATGCACTGATAATTTTGGCATTTCTGCCCTCTCGTAGCCATGTATGGGCAGCCAGGCCTCATTAGTCAAGCCTCGAGTAATGCACACATCCATATCATTTTATGATTACTCTTTCTTTGTAATATGTATTTCCCAGTCATTTTTTTTCCTATTTCTGCAAAGGAACAACTCAGCCTAAGGAAAAGGAAATGCTGCTGGTTAATAAGATGCTAAAGAAAAAAAAAACATGTTCACAGAAAGCCTTCACACAAGGAGAGCCCACAGGCAGGGGGCTGCGGAAAGTAAAACCCCAAAGGCAAATTGTGGACAGGAGCGCAAGGACATCCCAGCGTGTGTTCAGCGCCCCTTGGGTACACTGTGCCCTCACTGTCCTTCTGGACATGACTGGATAAAGCGCTAGGCACAGAATGTTTTCTTTCTCCACCAATGGTGTTTGACAGCTGTGACTGACTTTAGGGACTGCACTGAAGGCTGCCAGATGACACAGGAGAGAGAGGTTGCTATGGACAGGGATTGGGGCAGCTCTAGGCTGAGTTTATATCGGATTATACTAGAAACTTCAGGGTATTCATTGTCTTAAAAAAATTAAAAAGAAGAATGGAGAAATAGGTGATAAAACCCTCAGGGTACACACATAGAGGCAACCACTGGGTAATGGGAAGGACACCAAAACACACAAACAGGGTCAAAAGCCCCAGGGGCACTATCCTAAAGGAAGACAGACAGAACTGGCAGTTGTCCTGAGACGGAAACATCTACTTCTCCGGCCTTTCCGCCCCTAGCCCCCAACTTCCAGGATCACAGCATTCATGCAGAGCTTAGCTTGTAAAAGTTCAAGGAGTAGTTCAAGGAGTACGGCATCATGCGACATCTCAGCCATAGATTAAACCTAGGGCTAGGCCAGAATGTTCTGAGAGAAACAGGGAATTCATGGGCAACCATGACAGAAATGACTCTGTGCTGTTGCTCTCTCCCTTGGCAGTGCAGCTCCCCACTTAACATGCCCGAGAGCATTCTAGGAAAGCCTGTGACTGAGTCCGCATCCTAACGACGACTTTCACTGGTTGCCTCCTGGCACACCCCGTTTCCAAAGAAAAACTATCTAGAACTTGACTTTGTCACACAGCACTGCCTTCACCCACTTCCTGGGTGCAGGCTGCCAGGACTTGCTCCCCACTGCGAGCCAGCGTACCTCTCACCTCTCTCACCCTCCTCACCTCTCTCTCTCCCGTAGGTACCATCAGCTCTTCTGTCACGTGACTCATCAGGCTGCAGACTGTCCTATAGTTACAGGTGAATGCAAAGCTGAGGGCTGGTGTTCACGCGCACAGGAGCCCTCTGGGTTATCTTGGATGTCTGCTTATCAATATGGCGACTTTATAGAGGAATGAGCTAAACTCCAGGAAGGAAGACTTGGCGCTGCCTCTGCTCAGGTAGTCAGTGGTGCTGGGATCTGAAGTTTGGTCCAGTTTGTAACCACAGCAGGAGGCACAGGGTCCTGAGTTCAATCCCAGGTACCACCAAAAAAAAAAAAAGGAAGACCCAAAGGTTCCTGGAAAGCTGGATCTTTTGTGTTTCCAAGCCACCCAGTAACGTGGTCTTCTGTAACTCCTTGCATATCTAGCCCTTCTGGTATAGCACCTGCTTTCTCAGCAGGGCGTGAGGCCCCCAGGGAAGGATGGTGCATCCCGCCTTTTACTCTGTCCCTGGGCCTATGGTGCATCTAGTGCAAAAGGCGCAAACATGTGCAGTGCTTTCAGCTCCTAGGATTGTGCTCCGGGCCTCACAAAAGCGCATTCAGGCTCTTTATGGGCAAATACCATGTGTCCTTTTCCAGTTATTTATGAAATAATCTCAGAAACAAAATCCTTTTATTTAAAATATCTACCATGTTTAAGATTCACAGTTTATTTTATAAAACACACAGTTTTATGTTTCTGCTAATGTGTTTCTGAACACATATCTTTTCACTTTATGCATCATACATAAAAATATTTATGTGGGGGCTGGGGAGATGGCTCAGCAGCATAAGTGCCTGCCTGGCAAACGCAAGGATCTGTGTTTGATCCCCAGTACAGTAAATAAATTACATAGCATGTGATTGAAAAGTATAGTAAATATTTACATTAAAAATAAATGCATTAATAGGAAGGCCAGATAGCTCAATGGATTAAAGTGCCTACTTAGACAGTCGCAGGGACCAGGGTTCGATCTCTAGTGTGCTGTGCTGGCCCACCTCCAGGGCTCCCTGAGACTGAGATTGAGATTGGGCGTGATGGCACACATCTGTAATCCCAGCACTTTGGGAGGATGAAAAGAAGAGGATCACTACGAGTCCAACCTACGTAGTGAGACCCTGTAGAGCCTGTGCTCAATGCACAAAAAAGTATTAAAAATAAATTTACTAAAAAGTTGTGTTTATTGCAGAACATATAATACTGAATGGGGATCTTGACAATTAAGTCACTGGTAGTATGTTTATCATTAATTAAATGTTTAACAGAACACAAAGGGTTAGGAAGAACACCCCCAAATGAAATAAACTCACATTAGTAGCAGAGTTATCTGTGCTACTAAACCTGGAATGACTAACGTAGATATGTGTCTATACAATGGAATACTACACAGTGGTGAAAAATAAACAAAAAAAGGGACTGGGGAGATGGCTCAGTAGAATAAGCACAAGGGCCTGAGTTCAATCCCCAGTTCTGCCAAAAAAAATATAAATAAGTAAATAAAACTACACAGTGGTGAAAATGGGCACAGTAGTGTACATCCAACACTAAAGGTAAATATGACAGCAGAATTTTATGTGAAAAGAGCCAAATGCCCAAGTGCCTCAAGCCCATGTATAAATGCAAGTACAAGCTCACTTTTATGGCATTCAATTCATTGATTATTCTGGCCAAGGATATAGCAGGATATAGGGACAGATGGCAGGAAGACTTTGGGGTCCAGCTAGTGGAGCTGCTGATCTGGGGTCAGCTGACAAGGGCCCGTCTTAGAAACGTCAGTGGGCACTTACTACTTACGCAAGTCTGGATGTCCTATTTTTTACAGGTTCAGTTTTTAAAATCTCCCGCTGTGTTATGCATGACAAGCTGATGGGCGGGTCCTTCGCCAGCTTTTCCTGCAGGAGTTAGCTGTTCATTTACTTGTTTGTTTCTGCATCTCAGGCACTGGTAGGAGACTACTAACCGCCCATTCCCTCCAGTGTTGGAGGTTGAAATTCAGTTATTCCACACCTAAACCCCAGCCACATGTGGCTTCTGTAAGGAGTTCCCTAGTCTGGTAGAACTGTCTGATTTAAAACTTTTCCACGCTCTACTGACAAGAAGGAAATACATCAGTTGTCACAGAATCATCTGCACACACCTTAATGACTAATCAAATGGCATTTCAGAAACAGCTTTAGTTTGTGGTCCTGTTACATCGTTTAAATATTTTCTCCAGCGCGAGTCACACCATCCCACAAATATTTTCCCCGTTTTATTGAAGCTGAGAACTGATGCCATCTGTTTTAATGATAAAACGCTCTGAAAATACGAAATCGCACAGTCAGAAAGTTGAGCTGTGTGCTTGTAAGTGCGAGAAGGAATAACCCTTTTGTGTAGCACACAGTCTTCAAAACTGCCCAGGACTCTTGTGCAAACGACCTCGGGGATGCGCTGTGCCCCGCGCCCTGCACCCAGTGTATATGCTGGCTGCATAAGCATTCTTTGCACCACCTCTTCTAACATTTTCTGAAGGGCCACTTTCTGGTTAATAATAATAAAAAGTTCGAGTTGATGAGGCGAAAACTGTAATGGGCCACAAGAGAGTGCGAATAATCACAGCGGAATAAAGTAAATGTAAGATGCAGAAATCGTCCCGCACCTCGGGCGTCTCTCCTCTTCCGAGTGAGCAGCAGCTTGGCTAGGTAAAGCCCTGACCAGAGCACCGGGTGTGGCTCGGAACCCAGCCCCCGCCGGGAGCGCAGGTGGCCCGGGTCCCCAGCGGCGGCCGGACGCACTTACCAGGAGCGCGCAGCACAGCGCCTGGCTTCTCATCGCGGCGGGGCCGGAACCTGGACGAGGTGCGCGTCTCCAGCCCGCGCGCGCCTGACTTTTTATACAGCGTCCCGGCAACAGGAAGTGTCGCCTGGCTTTGATCAGTCATTTTTCTCCCCAAACCTTGCACCTTTCCTTTTTAGGAACCTGGGGCGGGAGCTCCAGGGTTAACGCTTTCGGAGCCGGTCGCCCCCGGGGGTGGAGCGCAGGATCGGGGGCGGGGACGTTTGCTGCTGGAGGAAAAAAAAAAAAAAAAGCCACGGAGTGCGGAACAGCGCGAAGCTGTCTGCCCCTGGACAGAAGCTCCCCGGCCGCTCCCGCCGCCCCAGCCTCTGTCCCCTCCCGCTCTGCCCTTCCTCTGCGGGCGCTGGTCGCCCCCACCCCCTGCGGTCCCCCTGAGGTTCTCGGTCCCTAGTCAGCCCTCAGGGCTGCACAGACCCGCCCGAGGAGGAACTTTTCTGGCTCTTGCTCCTCGGGCTCCCACGCCCCTGCTTCTCCTGCGTGCTGCTTGTCTAGGGTCGTCTGAGCCAAAAAGAATCAGCACGGTCAAAATTTACTGCCTGGCGCAAGGGCACTCCTCGCTCGCCAGGATTTTCTTTACTGACACCGTCACCAGGAAGGCCAGTTGGTGTCTCGGCCTCCAGGCTGAGCTCCCGGCGGGCCCCTGCAAGGGAGGGCCGCACAGAAGTTCAGCGCTTCGCAGAAAGGCTTCTTGGCGCCAGCGTGCACCCCAGCCTCTCTTGTCTGGAAGTTTGAACCTATCACTTCTAAACTGATCTCGGCTTCTGAAGTTTTGCACGCAGTCCAAGAGCTGGAACTCTCCGGTTGTTCCCCAGACTCTGTTTACATACAGGGCTGAAAAAAACCCTGCAGAACCTGCTTTCTCATTGGGGCCAAACGCTCGGTGCTAGGTCTCCAGAGAAGGGCAAATTCCGCTTCCACCTGCGTTCAAAGAGAGGGGGTGGCAAGCTGGGAAGGAGGCCGGCAGAAGGGCAAGTGTCACCAGCAGCGGCAGGAGCATAGTCCCCTCGGAAGGACATCGCTCTACCGAGGGCTCCAGGTGCGTTCGAGGATCAGACAAGATTCATCGAATAAGCAAATGGCAACTGGAAAGAAAAATGAGCTTGCCCTTTGGGGCTTCCGGGACCCAGGGGTCCTGCTGGGCTCTCCGCAGACCTGGAACCAGACAGCTCCGATGTCCTACGGGGGAGGAGGCCAGAGAGTGAGGATAAAGCTGTGGGCCTCTACACCGGCCCTCGTGCTTGGAGCTTTGGTGCTGAAATCTACAACTTTCGGGAGTGACACTTAGGTGTATACTGAGTCTCAAGAAATTCCAAAGTTTAGAACTAAAACTCTTTGTTAATGGTGATATTGTTGTTTCTGTTACAGTAGTGTTTTTCTAGGATATTATTGAAGTCATCTTCCTCAAAACACAGAACGTCATCAATATCAGAAATTAGACTTTGGAGAAAAGGGGTGAAGGATTAAGTCCCGCAGTGTTAACCCCAGAAAATTCCATGTTATTCTAAGCTTCCATTTCCTCCTTCATAAGAGGAAAACAAAACTGACATTGCAGAGAAAAGAAGAAAACAGAAACATTCAAGAAAGTCATGTAGAAATGCCCATAGTCACTTACTGGTGAGCGTGAAACAAAAAGTTCGATGCAAAGTGCCTCAGCCCAGTGCCCATAAGAAGGATTTATTAAATTCTGGTTGTGCTGGTTGTAGAGGAATAACAGAAGCCAGCACTGGGATTGAGGGACTCTTTGAACTCCAGCTCCAGCTCTTTCTAGCATTGTGACCTCAATGTACCAAACTTACGTGTATTCCTGTCCAGTTTCTTTTGCATTGGAAAGAGGACACAATACTTTTTTTAAAAAAACGTATTTAGTACAGGGTCTCACTACCCAGACCAAACTCCAGCGATCCTCCTGTTTTCAGCCTCCCAAATGCTGAGACTACAGGTGTGCACCACCACACCCAGGCCCAGTTGCCCTCTCAGGGCAACCCAGGGGCGGGGCTGGCATAGCATGAGGGGGATGGAACCCTGGTCCCTGCATAAGCAAGCATTTTAGTCTGATGAGCTATTTAGCTGGTCCTAATACTTTCAAATCTACTGCATACTATCACTGAGGGTTGTATGAGGGTTGAGCTAGATAAAGCATGCAAAGCACTCAAGATAGTGCCTTGCGGGCAACGTGATCTGACATTCGTGGGCTATTTATTTGAGCCTACAGGAGGCCTGAGCTCCTGAGAGCAGGAACTCTGTGTTTCCCTCTGAGCCTTCTAGCTCAGCTTCTGGCTTTCAGTAACTCTGCCCCTAATCACTGAATGCTGGTGGTGACTTGGGGGTGGAGGTGGTAATTAGTTGAAATCTGGAGACAGATTGGGGTAGCGTTTATCTATAATCATGGAGTCTACTGTGCATTGAGTAAGTGTCACAGCCCCTGACTGTGGTCCTTTCATTAATCACTCACTGGCAGGACTGTGACAGAGACCATGAGTGATTGGAGAGTTCACGTGTTACGTTCCTGGCCCAACCTAGCTGATCCCCCCTGCTGTGCTCCTAGTTGATCACTTCTGTGACAGCAGGCTGTGAGCACTAAAGTGAGAGTTCTTCTCCCAGTTTAATTGGAATGAACCTTGAGATTCCTCACTGAGCCCAAGGGGGATTGCTGAACACTAACCTGGAAGACTTCATCCATCTTCCTGAGACAGAGAGGTCCCTCACAGACAGGGACCATCAGTGACATCAAGTAGAGTCCCATTAGCATAACCTTTCTCTCTGGGCACCATGAATGAGTGGTGCCAGCTTTCTGGGGGAGGCTTCCTCTGACATGCCCCTTCCTCTCTTCCCTCATCTTCTCAGATGCTTCAGTGCGTCCCTGATGGCACACTGTGTGTGCTCTGCCCCCTGCTCCAACCACTGCTGACTGAGAGGGATGACCGCTGCGTCCGGGCTCTCCCAGGAGAATGCACTGCATGCCCACAGCACCACACTCACCCCTGATACTGAAGCCTGTTTGTCATCGTTATTGTAATGGGAAGAGCTGAAGCTCAGACAGGAATTGATGTAGGTGATTTGGAGACAAAGCGTGATCTGAGGCAGCGAGGACTCAGGTGACTGATCAAGTGTCTGCAATCTGATATTCAGGCTTCGTTGTCTGAACATTGGAAATAACTCGTGCTGAGGTTATGTGCAAGGAGGGATATAAACTTGGAGGACCAGCACACACTCAGTTATCTCACTGATGCCAAAAAGCAGCTTTCTTTTGCTTTCAAAGAAAGAATGGAAGGAAAGAAAGAAGACTTTGTGCAGATAGCTTATGGTGCTTATTTTATTATTACTTTCTTGTTTCTTCATCAACTAATGCAATTGTAACTGCATTAACATTCTAGGCAATAACAGTGCGACTTCACCTGCCTTCAAAATTGGGTGTGGACTTAGCTTGGGAAGAACAACTTGCACAGGAAGGCAAGGGTGTCTGATGATCCGCTTCTGGTGGGGCTAGCCACTGGCTCCTTCAGGATCTTGTGGAACACACACGATGGCTCGAGGACTGCTAGCTGGGGTTCCTTACTGACAGTAGTGAGATTTGGTCAGTGAAGGAATGCTCGGTCACTCTTCTGTCCTTGCTGGGACAAACACCTGACACCCAAAATGAAGGAAGGAAAGGTTTATTTAGCTCACGGTTGCTGGAGGTTTCAGTCCATAATCAGCTGGCTCCAAGGCAAAGCGGTACATGGCAGAGAGCAACCTTTCATGGTGGAGGCAAAGAGTGAGAGTGATGGGAGGAGTAGCAGCAACAGTGGCTGTTATGAGTCAACTCTGCAAAGGAACCAGATCAGACAGATAGAAATTTGAATAGAGCCTTTTATTTACTGAGCTCAGGTCCGTTAGCCACTTCTCTCGCAGGAGAAGGCTGATCGGCCCCGAACGTAGGTAGCGAGGGGGTATTTATAACAGAAATCACATCCAGTCTGGTAAGCAAACTTGCTATCTAGCACAGAACAACAGAAACTGCATTCATGTGACACAGCTGCAAACTCTTTATAACTAAAAGGCCTTTTACAGCTTAGTGATAAGTGTATATTTTTATAAGGTACATCTTAAGCTGCCTACATTACAGGAGATGGTTGGGGAGGGAGTTTGTGTTAGCTTGCTGCCTTGACAAGAAACAGTTATTTATTGTTGAACAGCCTTGAGCCAAAAGGGAGAACACATTTCTTAGAGCAGATAACAGAAAGCACAAGGGGTTTTTATAATTTTTTACAATTAAGGCATAAAACTCTATTAACCCTTTACAGTGGCAACAGAGCAAGTCTGTCTCTCTGTTTCTCTCATGTTACATTCAGGCTGTCCACTCCAGGCTGGGTGTTGTACTCACACCTATAATCCCAGCAGTACTCAGACCCATAATCCCAGCAGTACTCAGACCCATAATCCCAGTGGATCATGAGTTAATCACAAACTGTAGAACTGCACCTCAATGACTGCATGAGGCTTTGGGGGGACAAATACACACAAACCATAACAAATGCTTTCTCTGAAAAGTGGTCCCTTCAAACAATCTCACAGATCTATAAACAGGACTATGCATCCATACAAGCAAGTTGCAAAAGGAGACCCTTTCTCTGAGTGACTTTAAACCCAAGCTCTGAAAAATGAGTGCTCAGAGGTAGAGGAGATGGTGAAAAAGTGCAGAAGGAAAGGCTCTGGCCAGGGAGGGAGGTGAGAGGCTCAGGAGGAGGAAGCAGGATTGGATCTCTAGGAAAACAGGAAGGCAACAAGCTTGGCCTTTGGAGGAGGATGGTGGAGGGGGAGGTGGTCAGAATGCAAAGTGGAACTGATTCTCCAAAGAACCACAGGAAGCCCTGGAGAGTTCTCAGCAGAACATCTTAATTAGTTTAGGCTGCTACACCCAAACATGACAAACTGAGTGGCTGATGAGAAATTTGTTTTTCACACCTCTGAAAGCTGGAAGTACCCGTTAGGGGTCAGTAGGGCTGGGATCTGGTGAGGGCCTGGGTCACAGAGTGAGGCCTTGTCCTCCTGTCCTTTCAGGGCAGAATGAAAGCGAGGGAGCTCTCTGGGTCTGGGTCTCCTCCAAAGGGTGCTAATCCTACCCACAAGGGCTCCATCCCCAGCACTTAGTCAATTCCCTAAGCCCCTCCTCCCAATGCCATTACATTGGGGTAGGTTTTCGCTAGGTGAACAGCGTGG